ATTATGTGGTGCATGCGTAATCACGTGAATAGAATACGTAGGTTTTACGATAGATACTATAACTGATAATAAACGTTACACGATTCGTAATAATTTATACTACTGTTATAGAATAAATTCGTAAAATAATTTTATAAAAAATTTACACCAGTGATGTCTACTGGACGTTTCAAGTACCCCAGTGGCACCGACTGGGTGTCTACGTATCGATATGTAATTTTTGCGTTGGCCAAAACTTTCATAATGCTGGAAAACTTTCGTAATGCAGATGCAATCACATCACGGACTTTTTTCTATAAAATTACTATATAGGTAAAAAAAAAAACTACGTGAAACTACATGAACTTATACGATTTTACATAATTTCTTATGAATTTTATGCATTCTACGGGCCTTCGGTAATAATTATTATTAAATAACTTTACAATTACATATCGAACCATTACATAATTATCATCTATGTGATATCACGTAAATAGATGGATCTTCAAAGTTCGTGTATCTATTATGCCGAATTCACAAACTTAATCGAATCGGCCGAAGTATCGCTCAATTTTTATCAGGTGTTCCAGGAAATTATGAAAAAGCTGTAATTATCGAAAAATACAATTATAAAGGAAATTATACAGAAAGTATGTAAAAAAGAATAAATTTCTACACGTAAAAGTATACTGAAAAACACGTAAACGTACATGTCAATACGTGCTGTGTTGCGTGCTTTAGACGTGCTGTTCAGTGTACTGTCCCGTATATGTTTGGGAAATTATTTATAAGGGCTCGAAAAATGAAAATAACCAAATTTATTGTAACTAATTAGGTTTATTATGATCGATAACGTCAGAAAAGTTGTCTCTATCCGCCAAGAGAATCAAATCTTCAGTGCGGTCAATTTCCTCCACCGCGGCAGGGGCGAATGCAATCATAGAAGGACCTACTACAATGCCAATAGTAGCATGTCCAGTTTCACGAGCATATCTTCGCACGACAGTCTCATGTGCGAAGATGACCTCTCTACCTAAAAAAATTTAAATTTGATAAAAGATTTTAATTTATTAATATAATATTTATAATACGTAAAAACTTAAAAAAATTAGTAAATAAATAACATAACCTTTCTGATCCTAATAAAAAAATAAACCTTTTTTTATAAATCAAAAAAAAACTTGTAAATCAAAAGAATGAA